GAGGGCTAGGCTCGTAGACGTGCTCGTTAAGATCATGAACTCGATTTCCAGATGTGGAAATGCCTCTAAGGAAGAAACTTCATCTTTCTGTTCGGTGGAATAAAAGCATAAAGCCTCCTAAATAATTTCACAATATGTCCTTTTCTATACACATGGGGTGACCATGATCAACAGTTTCAGACAGCTTGTGCTACTTTTTGAGACCCCCAAAAGTAACCATTACTGCCTTAGTGATTTGAATTCTAAAAATCATATCAGAATACTACAAGAATTTGAATCTGGGCTGTCTTGCTGCTAAGATATGTTGTTTTTAAACCAGAACATCTATTTTACAAACCTACTCCATAACTCCCCTATTTATTCGTGTAACACCTCCACACAGGATATTTCTTTGGATTATGTAAACAGTTTCTCAAGAATCCTAAAATCACAGCCAGCTATTGTCATAGAGACATGTCATTTGATATGGTGATACCAACATTTGTAGGTAGTGAAATACTTGCTTTTGTCTTCCTGATCATAAGGGAGGGTACATTTCTATTCTTGTCAAAAGGTATTAAAGTTTTTCAAATGTATTACTTATAAATTGAGCTGAAGCTGTATACACAAACCACACAAACAAAAATAACCTCAAGATTATTGTCTTACTATGGATTCAATCTGTACATATTTACCGCCAAACCTAATGCCTTTTTTGTAGGAAAATAGGATATTATCTCTTGTTCAAAATGGTTGCCGTTGCCATGACAAAGAGGATGTAAAAACACATGCATAACACAATCATTTTTTTTTTCAACGGCTAGCACTCTGTCTTGCTATACTTTATTAATAACAAACGTTTCGTAAATGCAAGGCTTTATGGTCTCAGAGAGAGAGAGAGAGAGAGAGAGAGAGAGAGAGAGAGAGAGAGAGAGGGGGGGGATTACCCCTTCCTCCTTATTTATGTGGGAAAGCATAAAGAATAATTAAGGAAAAGGTGGTACTGCGTTTTTAAAATTATTACCACAAAGAGATAAAAATCATCCATAGTTTTGGTTAATGAACAGTAAAAGGGGTTATGTTATTCTGAATGCAATGGAGTTTAAAAACATACTTTTGACTTCTAACTTTCTGAATCCTTTCATACATTATTCGAAGTTACCTTAGGTTGGCTTCTTTTTCTCCTAGAATAATTATAGTGTGTGTCTGCTTGGGGAAATGTACCAGTTGTCAGAAATGTTGGATATTGAATTGGGGGCATATTTCTGTTGCAAAATTCAGATGCTGAATTTCTTAAACATTTGGTGAAGTACAATATGTTGCAAAAATAATCTGGCCATGAGATCTAAGAGATTTGTACGCAGTTCATTGTGAGACCTTTTGGTAGAACACTAAATTACCAGGATTGTATTGAATCAAACCTATTTGTCGAGTGTCTGTGTATGTTTCCATGTGTACGTGTATATTCTTCTATATGTTACTGCAGATTAAACCCAAAATGTAGGAAGGGGAACATTTTGTGGATACTTTAACGTTTGATTTATCAAAAAAGTATTTTTACCTTCACCGACAATATTGTACCTCCAGACTACTACAAAAACAACGTTTGTTCCTTCAGTAACAAATATTTGATTTTAAATATTTCACTGACCTATCAACAGTATATACATCATTAAGGAGGCAGGTTGCTTCTACATTGCCTTCCAGAGCCAACATGTTATATAAAAAATATCACAGCATAAGGCTGAGATACCTGACAAAACGGCGTGAACCGTACTCATTTCTTGTGCAGACGCAATAGCGTAGCGCGTTATCATTACACTACAGAACCTTAGTCAGAAACACCTTTGGTGGATTATTTGTGTTTTTCAACACAACATTCTTTCACACGCCCACACCCACTCACCCCCCCCCCCTCTCTCTCTCTCTCCTCTCTCTCCTCCCCTCTCTCTCTCTCTCTCTCTCTCTCTCTCCCCCCCCCCCTCTCTACCCTTCGTATTCTACCGTTTCGAGCAGACGTACCTGTCTGTGGTTACGCTACGCAACCGACAGCCACACTTGTTATCTCCAGCGAAAAAGGGTTTTGATCTCTTGTTTGCCTCCAGCTAGATGAAAAGAAAAGTTGAAGGAAGGGGAATACGTGAGTCGCCTGTAAAAGTGTTTTTGACTGCCGTTACAATTATGAGTTTCAACGTTTTTACTCATTTCGTCCGATGTTAATTCAACGATAATTATGGCCTCTTCCTTCACAAGCGGGCTCGCTTTGAAAATATGTAAACATAATAATATGATAAACAGATAATACACATGTATTTAAAGTCATACCTGTGTAAACAATTACTCTAACTTTCCTCTTTGCATATTTTCTGTATAAATATTATAATGATACTGTCCAAGACATCCACCTGTCTAAGACAACCATTTTTTCCTCGATAACTTGAGCCATTTCGGAGACATACCTACAAATATCACATACATAATGAATGAGTTCAAAGCACGTTATCGAGTATTTTGGCTTCGATTTGATTGCCATCAGAGTGCCTTACCTCTTCCTAGCCAACTTAGAGTTACGTGAGGTATGAATGGTCTGCTCTCACGCAAGTGTTCCAATCTATTTAAACCCATTATCTGTAATCCGCTATAACACGACTTATTAATTGTAGTGGTTTTCGTGACATTAATGACCAAACGATGATAAATCCAACAGCAGTATATCAAATTCTCAGGAATTACTATCTTTTTTACTTCAAGTCTTTGAACTGTAAGTTGTGGATATTTTTACTCATCCCCCCCCCCCCTCCCGTCCTCTCTGAAAAAAATTAGTGCCTGTTCCCACACGAACGTATTGTGTTCAAAGGGGCTTCTTGACGAATCATAATGCTCTTTTGGTCATTTGAATCAATACCTGTATTAACAGTATCCAAGGAAAACAACGTGTACTGTATTGCAGAAGTCACCAGTGTTTCTGCTTTCACAGTAGCTGACCTTTTATTTATGAGTAATAATATCACAAAAAGAGTCTAAATACAGCTGAATTACAGGATGCCATTTTTTATCGCGTGTGGTCTATACAACATCATCCAATTATGTAGAATAAATAATGGTTCAGTAAGAAGGTAAACAGCTGCTGATGCAACTGGGATTCGAACCTTGAAATCCAATGACATCCAGTAGATAGTGCAAAGTGAGACCTACTATTCTTCATTAGGTCGTAGTAGCGTGTACGAACCAAAACCAACCGGCATCTGTCTTGGTCACCCGTATAAACCCAACTAAATTAATAATACTTTTCAGCAAAAAAATACCAAGTCTTCAGACTGAATGGCGGACAAAGTGTTTATTAAGTAACATCGACAATGTATGTTATAGCAACCAATAATCGACATCAACGAATTTACGAGAGTAGAAAGAAAACAACATTTATGTGGGCACGATAACACAAATAAAGAAAGTCTTGCAAAATGTCACATTGTACACAACATTGATGGACAAATACCCGTATTCATATTATCATAAAACATCCGTGTCCAGTCAGTCAGTCAAATCACAAGATTCCGTTTGCCATACCACAAACAGCTGTAGAACGTCACCTTATAAGATGCGCAAATGATCCGACTTACAGGCTCAGACAGCACCCAGCATACAATCTCGCTTAGAACTTGCTGCTCTAGGCGATTGTTTAATGTATGGCGTCCCAGCACAACTTTAGCTTTTATGTCGCACTGTGTGCGCATCTTATAAGGATCGTCTCCTTCCCTCTCGCTCAGCTTGAAATCCGAAGCACAGAGGAGAAATTGCATCAAATAGTCACTATCACCAAAAGTAATCCGAGACCAAATTATGTCAATGTTTTAAAGTTTTGAAATACACATTCACAATTGTAAAATTTATGAATTACATTTTTCAGGTTGGGTAATTAACTAGAAAATAAAAATTGGAAGAAAGCACGTCAGACCGTCCTCCTCATTGCTCGAGATCTTTTGCTTCTCTAATGCTTCTGCCTTTCCTGAAGTTATCAAGAAGACAGACCACCAAATTACAAATTGAACCGTTCTCTCATGAAACTAAAAAACACATGGTTAATGAAGGCGTATTAATTTGAATACATCTATTTCATTAATAAATAAATATTATATTCCAAATAGCTTTATATAGAGAAATACAACTATCATTATTGCCAGTAGCAATCAGATCGTAACATGGAAACTGAAGCAAAGCACCACTTAATTTGGCCGTTTAGCTATTTAGCTAATGTTTTATGTCTTAGTGGATACACATTAGATCTTTGACGAAAAGGGCTATTTGGAACTTAACTATTATTGTGCGTTGGACACCTTTCGTAACAGGTAATTGTATAAGTTTAACGCCCCTATCAACACTGTTAGGTTGAATTAGAGGCAAGGCCTCCGAATTCAACGTCTATGACCTTGTTCTTCAAGTGTCGGGCCGGAAGTAGACATTGCCGTATGTAGTAACCCACTCATTCCTGTTGTCATCCTGATCAGCTCAGTTTTTCTTATTGCGATATTTGTTTCAAGGTTGTACAGGGCATCTATGTTTATTGCCCTCTTTCCTCCTCAGCTCTTCAGGGCCCTCTATCTTTCCTCACTGCAACAGTTTTTCTAGTCCATTAATTGATATGTATTTATGTGGCTAAAGAATCTCAATTGCTTTTTCTGATAGTCAGGTTTAAAGATCCGCCAAACCTTGCCATTTGGAGCACGTATCTATTTTTATTCCCCTTTGTCCATGAAATACGGATTATTCTCCTTAAATACTACATTTCGGCGATTTCTAGCCTTATCCCTGTGACCTTATTTATGAGTCCAGCTCTTCATACATACAAAAGGATTGGTCACACATACACTTTAAGGATTCTTTTCTTTTTTTTCTTTCAAATGATCTACTTTGCATTAAACACCTATAGTAGACGACAATTTCTTTTCGTACAAGCTATTCCCATGCTGAATGAATTCTCCTGGCCATTGTTCTGTCGTAGCAGTTTCTTCTGCATGGCACACTTGAAAAGCTGACCAGTTCCAAAAACTATCTTTAACTGCCCAACAGTTCGTCCGTCCCTTAACTTCATGTAACCATGCCCGGGGAGTTAAGTAGGTACCCTACCTTGCTCAAGGGTCTCCCACAGACTAGCAGAGGACGGAGCCACCTTCCTACTCCTGCTGATGGAAGATCGATGTGCACAAGTACGAGGCAAATGGGCAGAGATTCTTGGAAAATCCCCATAACAACCCAAGCTTTACGCACCTCGTCGAGGATTCGAACCTGGTCTCTTCCTCCTCCCCATCTTAGTCCAGCATGATACCACTGAGATAGCAATGCGTTCCGCGATATCTTCACTAGAAAAACAGCAGTAGTCAAGAATTACTTTCTTCGAAAGGGATAAAACTCGCGTCTTTTTCGTACATGGAGCAGAGTCCAAACATTACATAAAAAACAGCGCTATCGCTTAGAATAACGACAGCTTGTGTTGATAATAGAATATTTTGGTAAATCTAATTTCTCTACGTGATGTTTTACGTTGAAACACCTTATCATTTTAACCAACAGACGACGGAAAAAGAGGAACCGTGGTTGTGGGGGGGGGTAATAGCTTACCAGAGATAGGTGTGTGTTAACTAATGTAGATAAGTAAATAACTTGTAATCTGATCTTTCAAACAGTGGTCCATACCCGTGCAAGAACTTCAGGAATATGTATCATTTTACAACTTTTGACCACATATTATGTTAAGGTCAGGTGGATTTTCGATTAAGAGCTTGAGTCCCATATTGCACTGGAATTGTCTCCTCATAAGGTATTTATACACAGTATCCCTCGTGTGTCCAAGTATCTTGTACCTCAATCCTCCGATAGATAGTTGTTGACAAGAAGCGCTGGGTACACAAGAAGCGCTGGGTACACAGTAGATATATTAAAACATTCTCCGAACAACTGTTAATTAGTGTAAGCCTTCAGATTTAGTCTACGAATTATTGTGTATATCGTCAAAACAGTCACTTCCCAGAAACCAGGGAGAAGGGGTGAATGCATTGGTGAGCTCGACCCTTTAATAGACATAATTGTACAGTGTCTGGCCTTACCATTGTCTTAGTGTAGTCAAATTATTATTAAAGCCAATTCGATGCTGTTAACAGTCGAGGTGGTATGATAATGTTCAACGTCGAATTTGACATATCATGTACGTTACCCTATGTCACAATGATGAATGTTGAGTCATGAAGACAATCCTACAACACTAAGGCTCTTTATGATGTTGATTTTTAAGCGCATGATATCCTATACTTTTGAACAGGCCTTTCAAAACACCCCGCGGCTTTGTCCTACTGCTACTGTTGCTATCAGCTAAAAAGTTCTGACCAGCTGAGGAGTCGACATGTCGCGCACTTCGGTGTAGTGATCGCACCTTACTTTGAATCACAAGATACGGCCTGTTTGGATTCAGGCTCCGCCCCTTCTTCCTTGTCTGTTTACGTCTTCGGTACACGTGCTCTAGATGAACCGATTGACGGCAGCGTTTACAACTTATGAATAAAGTCAGTGTCTTGTTTTCTGAAAACGCATCAGATTGTAGAAGCTTCAAAGGTAACGGAATGCTTACAACTGTCCGTTTTGTGAAGCTGACACGATGCATTGCGACTCGCTTCTTCTTTGACGTTGTAGGATCGTAATGACGAACCACGATTTTCACCTTATGTCTCCTCTGCTTTGACTTCCTGCGATTTTTCCTATTCTTTCTTCTCCTCCGCCGCCTGTCTCTCCCAGCTCTACCGGCTGCTCTTTTGAACAGACTACGAGACAGGGGTTCATCTCGAGGGATTTCAACTGCTGTTGTCTTTTCTGATGAGCTCATAATAGATCGTTTGAAAATATCCGAATGTATACTGCGTTTCTTTGGGACTTTTTTATTACGCCCGAAGGAATCCGATGATTTTTCACCATTTGTTCGCCGTTTCTTTTCTGTTCCGTTCCGAGTCTTGAGCGAGTTCATTGGTGTAGCCACCGGTTTTACTGCTTTGCGCTTGTTGCTTCTGTCGGTTCGCAGTGTTACAATGAGACTGATGCCTGTGAAATTGGATGTGTTGTGGTGCAGCAAGGACTCCATGTTGAAGTTCAGAGCACTCGCCCTATGAGCATCTGAGGAAAGGATAATAAAGTGCATGATTAGCTCAGAAGCAACTGTCACTTTAAGATTGTGGAATATGTTCTTAAACATTCTTAAACGATTTTCTTCAAGCAACAGAGGATTTCATCACAAAACGTTGTTAGTACATTTTAAGTTTCAGATGCTTGTATTTCCCTGCTTTGCTACGACCTGGTTTTGCGTTAACAGCAGGTCAAGTTTTCAACGGAGGAGGCAATTTACATTTTTTGTCTACAGCATATCTTTGAACTAATATGTTTTCCTATAACTACGCATATCACGTGTACAGGATCTCTAGAGCCCGCTTACTGTGAACTCAGTCAATACTTGCACTTAAAAATAAGGAAATGGATCAGGTTACTGCCATGTTATATTATTAAGTTTCAGATGCTTGTATTTCCCTGCTTTTCTACGATCTGGTTTTGCGTTAACAGCAGGTCAAGTTTTCAACGGAGGAGGCAATTTACATTTTTTGTCTACAGCATATCTTTGAACTAATATGTTTTCCTATAACTACGCATATCAAGTGTACAGGATCTCTAGAGCCCGCTTACTGTGAACTCAGTCAATACTTGCACTTAAAAATAAGGAAATGGATCAGGTTACTGTCATGTTTATATCATTGCACTGGCTGTCTGTGTCGGCAAGCACATCATATAAAATAGAAATATATGCCATTAGTATGCCGAAACCAAAGCTCTCTTATAATTTAATGATCTCATTCAGACTTATGTTCCATCTAGTCCACTGAGGTGGGGTTATCAGTATCTTTTATGAGTTCCCTAGAAAAGAGGCAACAATTTACAGGAAAGATTCTTAGCCCACCTCCTTCCTCCATTACTTTAAAATTCCCTGGTAATAAAAAAATCCCTCAATAATACTTGAGTGTTCACGGAATCACTTCTGAATCAGTAGCTGTTTTCTCCGTACAATGTTTAGACAATGCATCCATTTACGCATTTTTATTAACCTAAGGATCACAATATTGTGTATGTTACTTTATGTATTTGTATTTACTCAATTTATAACGTTGTCTCTGCGTACGTTTGAGTTTGTGATAAGAGAGAAGGTGCGTGTGAAAAGGGGTTGGAGACGTCCGGTAACATGTGTGTGTATGGGTGTGTGTGTGTGTGTATGTGAGTGTGTGTGTGTGTGTGTGTGTGTGTATGTGTGTGTGTGTGTGTAAGAGAGAGAGAGAGAGAGAGAGAGAGAGAGAGAGAGAGTGTGTGTGTGTGTGTGTGTGTGTGTGTGTGTGTGTGTCTGTGTGTGTGTCTATCTATTTGCTATTTCTTCTATGTGTGTATACGATCAAAGGTAATTCTTTATTCATGAATTTGTTCTTCAATAATTTATATAAACCACCTATTTTTGGGTTCACAAGGGAGTAATCGTAGTAAAAGTTATAATACTACTACCATTACTACTACTACTACTACTACTACTACTACTACTACTACTACTACTACTACTACTACTACTACTACTACTACTACTACTACTACTACTACTACTACTACTATTAATAATAATAATAATAATAATAATAATAATAATAATAATACTGATATTCTTCTTCTTCTTCTTCTTAATATTATTATTATTATTATTATCATTTAAAATATAACCATTAACCATTGCTGCTACTATAGTATCACTATTACCATTACTACTAATAATACTCAAAATGTGGGGTTCAAATCGATCATGAGTAAATCTCCTTTGAGTCCGTTCTAGGAAATCTTTATTTCTTTATCCCTCCGAGACTACGACCTGTTTTGAGTGTATTAATGTAATGTTCAAAAGTTATTTCTTTAAAAAAAAATATCATTAAACTTTTAAGCAGCTTCCAGGAAAATATGTATGTGTGCTTACATCCCTCAGACTAACTGCAAACAGCAGGGGAGGAACAAGTCTCTCACGTTGGAATAGCATGCACAAACAAAAATGTGTTTAATAGGGATAAATAATATACAAGATCAAAGCAATTATGCCACTGTTTTGTTGACAACAATATCATAGCCAGGAGCATACCTTTGGCTTCGGACCAGATTTTGGAAATTCTGTAGGTGGGTTTGGTCTGGGGGTCTCGCCGACTGCTCATGCCCTTGGTGTCCGTGTTGAGCATACGTGTCGTTTTAGGCTGACTAGGCGGAATGCTCCGGTTGAGTCCACGCATAATGCGCTCCTTTACCTGTAAATAGTAATTGTTGAAGTGGTATAAGCCCATCATCATCATCATCATCATCATCATCATCATCATCATCATCATCATCATCATCATCATCATCATCATCATCATCATAATCATCATCATCATCGTCATCATCGTCATCATCGTCATCATCATTATTATGTGTCTACACCTACGTCTAGCTGTATTTCATCGCATTTAGATCCAAATCTAAGTCTCTTTTACAAGAACATTATGAAGACAAAAAGACATAAACAAATACAATGGTCTGTAGTATGAAATTATCATTGGCCAGGTACCCTACTACAATTCAATCACCGGACATTACGACAGGTGCAGAACCCCGAATACATAACTATATTTTTTTTTATTATGAGCTTGGCATGAGTCAGCCCATTTACAATTCTACTATGCTTGAACGAGAAATGTCCCCCCTTTAGGAATGGCCTAAAGACACTACAGTCAGTGGCACTGCCCCGGGGGTATACTATATGTTTGGCAAGAAACACACTCAAAAAACTTCTGACATATCACTGTTCGAAATTCAAGAAAGAAAGCGCCTTAACTTTCCTTTTCTTGTTTGTGATTTCACGCAGAAATCTTTTCAGTGCTTCCAAAACACCCCAATGCCCGCTCTGTACCCGACCTTTGTTAGACAAGGTGTATTCCTGGCTGACGTCCATATATATATGGGATCGACAAGTACATGATATGTCAAATACTGCTTCTAGTTTCGTTAAGGGATAGAATATTTTTTGTAGCAGTTTGTTTAGCACGATTACAAGAAATGCATTCGATGAACAAAGCTAATACATTTATAATTTCGTACAGGGTATAACCTCCAAACAACAGCCGCTTTTGAACATCCAAGAAGGCTGAGGCCGAAAGATTCACGAGAAATACTTCTCAGTTTTCTTCAATCCTACCCAATTACTCAATTGAAATCAGGACTGTTGCGTGTTTCTATATTTAGATAACATTATACAAAAGTGTTACCACCATCACCATCTTCGTAAAAATGCACAAATACTTCACTATGGATAAGCCAACTGGCTTAAATATTCTTTAAGCCTATCACGAATAAAAGACAAAACAAACCTTCTGAATTTCTACCAGCGAAGTAAACTGGTGTGACATGTCCACTTGTTCACATATTACAACACTGGCCCAGAACATCACCAGGGACAGATGTAGCAAGGATGTCGACATAGTAGTGTTGTTGTTGGAGAGAGGCACGGACTGGACGGCTTGCTGAGACAAAGAAAAATGATTCATTCAGAAAATGTGGGGCGAAGTGATGCTAACAGGACAAGGGGGTGGGGGGGGGGGGACGATATCAAGCAGATGAGGAGATGAATGACACTGAGCAAGAAAGAGAAAACCAACAGTGAATAAAAAAGAGAAAAGAAATAAGAAGTCCCCTCCCCCTCCCCCCAAAAAGAAGGTAAGAAGGAAGCGAGAAAAAAAGGTCAGAAAATATACAATTAGAAAACGAACGACCAAGGCCATAAAAGATACGTTCAGACAAAAAAGATGCTGATACACTCATGAAAATCCGCAATGTTTACATTCATGTTTCAGACCTGTGGGAGAGGACAAGAATGACTGATAATATCAGATATGTGAGCCGCATACTTCAGAAGCCAACATCTCTAGAGGTTCAGTCTAAATCTGAAAGGGGATTTTTTTCCCTGTGAGGTAGGCCTATAGATAGATAGATAGATAGATAGATAGATAGATAGATAGATAGATAGATAGATAGAAATGGCTTGATGGAACTGACGAAAATTCTATTATCACAGATAAGTTTACAGATATACTGTAAGACGACATACAGACTGGCAGAGAGTCAGACACACAGACAAACATTTAAACATTTAACCAAGAGGCTTTTCTTTTTTCCTCAGCAGGTACAGTTTCGATTACATTTACGCATCGATACAAGAACTACAACTCGTTTCATGTAAAAACTTGAAGCGACCCGACCTCCTTTATCATGCTCGGCCAGTAGTAGAAATAATAAATAGCTCTCGGCTTCGTCTGTCGCTGCGAGACACACCGGCCCGACGCAACAATCACAGCGAAGCCTGTATAAGTGCATGCCTCAAAATGACGTCATCAATTCAGGAGAAAATCTCTCCCAAATCCCTCTCCGAGACACCAAATACTGCAGGGCTCGAGTCTCGGGTGTAACGGAGTCAAGAGTGCACAAACACGAGCAACGCTGTGACGTCATAACCTTCGGAGATGAGAAAGCCAGCGTTGCTTGGTTCTTTGCCCATTATGAGGGGCACCCACTTCCTATTGTAGTTGGATCGTCATGATCGGTTCGGGGGAAAATTAGTCGGATTAGCTCAAGCGCATGTCTTAAAACGAAATTCAACAAGATCAAACTTCAATTTGTTTTGTGTTTTGGATAGATACAACTACTTGGGGCTATTGGTTCGAAACAAAAATGTAGGAAAGAACAGGAGTCAGATGGGGAAGGGTGGGGTTGGGTTTGGGGGGGGGGTGGAAATCACAAAAGTATGTGCAGTAGGGCATCGAAGCATAAAGACTAGGGTACATCATCATCATCATCATCGTCAACAACAACAACAACAACAACAACAACAACAACAACAACAACATCAAGTCCACTATTTTTTAAAAAGTTGTAGCTGTCACCCACAATCGGTCATTATGTACAAAGAAGAAAAACACAGTTGCAATTGCTCTGAGAAAATCTGAGTCGATACCTTTACTTTATGTATTTGTCAACTTAGGAGAACAACTCGGACGAAAAGGGCTGAGTGGGCAATGCTTATTTTCCTTCTTTAAAAAAAAACTGAAATCGGATAAATAATAAGCGCACTTTACACCGTTACGCCTCCAAGGATCATTCCTTCTCGGAAGTTATGACACCTTCCTTACGGGTTGCCAAGTCATTCAATATCTTAAGATCAAATTTGTCGCCCCTTTCTCAAGCAAGGTTAACAGTTTGGCCCGTTAAATATAATGTCAAGTGTTAAATGTGTAACGATAATATCACGAAGAGCGCATACGCCCACGCACGGCTTGGGGCTCGGAAATACGAGAGATTATGAAGTCTTTGATGACACCCACACGAGACGGAGAATTCTTCTTTCTTGCTATTATTTATTTTGCCTGTGAACTTGGTGGAAGATCCCGTGTTAAGCTGTCTATAAAATTATTAAATCGATATCTTTCTACATTTCAGTATGAGTTTCTAACAGAACACTAATACTGTTGATGATTAGAGTTTCTGAGCGCATTTTTGGGAGCTTAATTAACGCTGTCTTATTCTTCAAATCTAAATGGGAGAGGGACACTAATTCAAAGACAAAGTCACTGTAGTGGACACTGTTGCAAAACTTATGTAAACCACTAGCATTACTAATAACTATTTTCAACATGAGGACAGACGGCGGAAAGAGCTTTAAAAAAAAATTCAAAATAATGCCGATCATCTCATTTATAGTATTATTAAACGCATACAGCAGCTTAATATATACCTTAATACGCATCTCATTGTATCTCTCGGTCTGTGTCTCTTACCTCTCCTGCTCTTCACCTTTAAACCCCCCCCACCCTCCCACCCTCT